AGGGATGCCCTTGAAGACTATGATCTATGGGTTGGAGAAGATAGATCTCGGCCATGCCTATTCAACCTTGTGGCCCAACCTACCCTTCAACGTAGGATTGTGGAATTGCAATGCTTAGATCCTGACTTAGCGTTGATTCGAGCTAAATTGGAGAATGGAGAAACAATGGAGGGTTGGTCTTTGAGAAATGGAGAACTAAGATATGGGGATAAGCTATGTGTTCTCGATAATTCGTCCCTAAAAGAAGAGATACTTGGAGAGTGTCATCACTCTAAGTTTGCTATCCACCCCGGTAGCGTCGATTCTTGATATCAAAGAGAAGGTGCTTTGTAACAAAGTCATCTGACTAGTGAAGGTTTTGTGGCAACACCATGAAGTGGAAGAAGCTACTTGGAAACCGGAGCTAGAAATGCGAGAGAAGTACCCGCACTTGTTCGCTACTTGAGGTAAGTTTCGAGGACGAAATTTTCTTTAAGGGGGGTGGATTGTAAACCCCCACATGTTTATATTAATATAGTAATGTACTTGTTAGTGATTCTTATATATGTAATGACGTAAGAATAAACCATATATATTGAAATTGTAAGAATAAATACTAGAGAGACAAATTGATTGTGAAGTTTAATTTTTTTTTTAGGTGTTTAAAGTTGATAAGGGTAACAAAGTAAAAATATTAATTTTAATGTTTCGAGATTAAATTTATTTTAGTTTTAAAATAAATAATAAAATAAATATTTTTAGGTTAAAATAACATTAAAAATGAATTCGAAACTTCGAAAAATCTTAGGGTAGTCATATGAATCACATTGAAAATTTTTAGTGGCAAAATCGTAATTTTGGAGAAAATCAAATCAGCCTATGAACAATAAAATCGGGATTTGACTGACCTTATAACACCATTTCATTCCATTTTCCCTCATTTCTTTCACTCCACTCTCACCCCACACCTCTTGAAACCTTAGAGAAAGATTAAGAGAGGAAGAAAAATGTCACTAGAGTTTGGGTTCTTAATTAGAATTTTGATTCAAGGTAGGGGTTTTCTTCCATCCTTGTTCATTGATGTTAGGGTATTTATGTATGTATGATTTGTCTCTAAATGTTATATATATGATATGAAATCATCATCTTTTAGTCTTTTTTTGCAAAAATTACATGTTTTGAACAAAGTTAGGGTTGAATACCCATAAAATCTCTTTTATTGCTTTAAAACCTTAGTTTTTGGAGAGTAATGGATTTTCTTCTTAAATTCTTCCTTTATTATTGATTTCGAAACCATAGTGTTTTGTGTTGAGTAATAAAATGATGTTGTTGTGATCTCTTGTATTTTTCTTAATTAGTCGTTGGAATTGTAACATGATAAATTTGAGAATTTTTGAGATATGCTTGTAAATTGAGAAATTGAGTTTGGTATTGTATCTCTTATGAGTGTGGGATGACCATGGGTGGCCTTTGACGAGATATCGTAGAGTGGGTAGACGTTCTTCATACTCTGTGTAGGTTTGAACTTTTCGTACCACTCGTAGTGGGGTTAGTGCTTTGGTAAGATGAAACTACTATTGCTCACGGGTATCAAGGCAGAGGTTAGTATACTAATACTTGGGTTGGATACGTCATTGCCATTTATATGGTATACGCCCTTCTTAAAGGTTGGATATCTTTGAGAAGATTTGGGTGTGTGTGGGGGGACTAGATGTAACTCAATGCGTTGATTTATGTGGATGCCTTACATCATGGTTGAGATACATGTATATATTGTTGTGAAATGTTCAAGTTATGAGTTATTGTTTATTCTACCAGAAATAATTTCTACAAGAATCTTGAGAAGTATGAGATTCCGCAAGAATTTGTGAGAAACGGTTTATGGTGAAATAAATTATTAATTGTATATTGAGTTCTTTTATTCATTAAATTATTGTTGTTACTTAAACTTGAAATCTGTTTCCAATGTCCCTGTTTTCTTCAAAAGTTATATATGCTATTTGTAAAATGAGACCGACAATTTTATATGTTTTTTAAATCTTGTTCGGGTTTGGAAGAGTTTTCTTACAGAGCTTCATGCTCACCCCTTACCTAACAACTTTTTCAGATTATCTTCTCGAGGAATAGCTGGGAGTTGAGGAGCCCAAATACTGAAAAACTCCGATAGACGGGAGCGTGAATCCCGAGGTGGAAGCGTAGAACGACACTTTCTTTTGTTATAGACTAGGATATTTATTTTGAATATTGTGAAGTCTAGTTTTTCTTTTGTTATTCCACTGCGCTATGATGGTTAAATTTTTAGGATGTAAATATCATGGTTGAGCATATTCTTTTGGATAATGTTATAAATTTTATGGATGAAAAATAAAATCTTATTTATTTATGGATCATATTAGTGATCTCATGATGTAAATGGTTTTAGATAGTAATGTGGTCAATATTTATTCATAAATGCACCCGGTATGATCAATATAGTATAATTGTACAAGTTGTATTTTGGGTAAAACTCCCCGTACAAAGGAGACTCTACCCGAATTTTGTTAAATTAAGAATCTCCGATTTTTGAGGCGTTACAGGGAGGCTCTATAAAGAATACAGAGGCACAAGGTGGAAGGTATACAAAATTCTCCTTGTATAACAATTCTTTCTATTCACTTATCGACTCAGTATCAAAGTGTCTTTGACCAAAGTACTTTGTCTTGGACAATTTTTTCATTTTGCAGGAGATAAAGAAAGGGAATACGAGTTATAAACTTATACATTATTTGGAGGAGGTAAATCCACTTCTTGCCTTCTACAGTAAGACTCATATATTTATTAAAATATCATAAATATCTATAAATTTTTGTAATGCGGGAAAATCTCTAATAAATTTTAAATTTTTGAAATTATATTTACTCCCCAAATATTTTTAAAATTTCAGTAGGGATAATTGCCCCCATTGTGGATCTGCCATTGATGTTGAGGAGGAAACTTTCGTCAAGAGGTTTTTCTTTGAAAAATTGTCGTTGATAGGTATGACCCATAAAACTTAAAAATTTGACTTTGATCTTCGACTTAAACTTTTACCCCGCAAAGTTACACTTTTCCCCATCATCTGCCATGGACTTCGACTTTTGAAGTTCATTCAATAATTGTGAAGGGGATATAGAACCAGGTGCACCCAATTTTTTTTGTTTTTTATTCCTTTAATTTGAAAATAGTTGGACCCAACTCAATCAGTGACATTGATGATAAATCTCTTTTCGGGAATCTTCCATTATTGCACTTTTAATAATCTTCCTCAATAAATAGATTAACGGTCATAAATTCCAAAATGATTCATCTATCCACCCATTAAAAGAATCAAACTAGTGGAGTCATGGCCAGAAGAAATTTCACTCCACATTCTCTTAATTTTTAGAATTTTTTAATCCTTTAATTACAAAATAAGAATTCATTTGATCAAATTAAGACGTTGGAAACCAATTTAATAAAGGGGAGTAGGGTTACGTTAGCACTTTATTAATAACATAAAAAAAAGACAATAAAAAAAAGTTCTAAGACTCGAGACTAGCAGTCAAAAAAGTAGGTGAAATTTCATTTTACTCCCTTGGGGTATACACTAAAAGCACATAGCCTCCCTATTATTTATAAATATTCACATAACCCTCACATGATTTATAGATTAAGTGCACTGTTACATTTTTTTCCCATCTATTTTAACTGATCTGGTAAAGTCACGCGTTAGCAGTGAGGGTGGACATGAAAAAGTATTTTGAAATGACAAAAGTGCGCTTACCAACACCCCCTGTCACTGTCTCGCTCTCTTAATTTTAACTGAACCAGCCTGAAATTAAGGACACTGATGCGATTTTCTTTGCATTTTAATTTCTGGGACTTGATAAATTTCTTGGATTTCATCTATGGTGACAAAAACCCACCTGAAATTTGAGCTCTCTATTGACTCCTCCTCATGAAAATTCAAGTCTAAAGTTTTGAAATTTGGATATCTTTCTTCAGGTTCTAAGTCTGGTTCAATTCCTAAGGTTAATACCTCATCAAATTCCAAAAAACCCATCTCATATCTTCACATTCCCAATGCATCTCTCCTCAAATCTCTCAAAATCTCCCCATTCAAACAACAACCCAGTTCACCAAAACACCCAAAAGATCATACGTCAACCCAAAAAAAAAAGTGTTTTTTCCCCTTAAGAAGTTTGAATCAATTTGGTGTTTATCTCGCTTCAGAAGTTGATAGTGTCCGCCACCAACAGTGTAAACCACTCCTCTTCTCTTCTATTCTTCATTTTTCCTCTTCTTTGTCCTATTTTCCAACTAGTCCATTACCAACATTTACCACCGACCACTTCTTTTATATTTCGCTTCCTTTTTCCTATTCACTAACCAGCGAGCTACCGACAACCATCGTTGCAACAATAATCGCTAACAATAAACGACATCTATGCAACTCGGGGTTTGATTTCCGAATCATCTGCAATTTTGTCCGATTCTGATTTTGGTTCGCAGTTACCCAATTTCAATTCGTTTTGATTCGAATTGCTTCGTTCCAATTTATGCGAAATGAATTTAGAGTGATGAAGCATACCCATTGAACTTGGAAATTGGTGGAAATTGGTTGTGCAATGATAGTGGCATGGTGGTGTTTGCAATGGTTGTGCGGTTGTTCAGGGGGTGTTGTGCTGCAGACAGGGTTTGCTTGGGAAGAAGTAGATAGGGGTACTACGGTCATTTTATTTTTTTTGCTAACAGAGTTAATCATTCACTTTAGTCCACATGATATGTGAGGGTTATATAGACATTTTTAAATAATAGAGGGGAGTAAAGTGAAGTTTGTCCAAAAAAATATTAGAACAACAAACAGAATTAAATAAAAAAAATATTTTATTCATTCAAATATAAGAATGAAATAATCAATCGACTCAAATACAATCACCAATGCAGAATTAAAATACACAAAAACCTCCCACTCAATAATATAAGTATATCTATATCCCTAAAGAACTTCTCGCAACAAAACATTAATGCCTAAATAGAGAAAGAACAGAGAGGAGGAGAGAAGTCCCGATCAAGGCACCGGAAACAGGCAGAGAAAACGCCGCTCCGGCATCCGGAGACGGAGCTGGTGCACTCCCGATATCCTGCGCAGATGCGGTGACAACTGCAACGATAAAGGCGAGAACCAAGGCCTTGAAGATGTTAACTTGCGCCATTGGTGAAGGATTACGGAGACTCGGCTTGTGATCTGAAACTGTAAATAAGAGGTTTGAATTGAAGGAAGAAGGCTAGGGTTTTGTTGCGGCTTGTGATGAGTTCATGGAGGTTGTGTCAATTTATAGGCGATTTGGTGGGCCCAACAAGTACGAGTGACAGCTATTTAGTTCACCGAACAGCTCAATGCGAAACTGGGTGTTGATGATTGGCTCACAGTTTGGCAAAGCAGGTCGGTAACGGCCCGCAGGGAAGCTTGACACACGTTGCATTTGTTGACTGGTCCAGGCTGTTGAGTTGGCTTTTTTCTGTACCTGTGTTTGATATATTTTCTCAAACGAAGATTTTAAAATAAATTACATATATACCTTCAAATTATGATATTTGTATTAATTAAATTCTTGAAATTTTTTTTTTTTTTTGTGTCAATTAAGTCACTAAACTCTCAAAATATGTCAATTGAACCCTTATGTCTATCTTCGTTAGGTTTTCTAATGGAAGTGACGAAATATACCACTCATACAAATGAGTTGAAGTAAACTACATACATAACTCTCAAACTATGAATTTTCTATTAATTAAGCCTCTAAACTTTTTTTTTGGTCAATTGAGCCCTTAAACTTTTTAATTGTGTCAATTGAGTCATTATGTCTTTTTGTTTCATATAATTACATGAGTGGTACACTCTAATGGAAACAGACAGAAAGATTCAATTAATATAATTAAAGAGTTCAGGAATTTAATTGACAAAAAAAAATTTAGAGACTTAATTGACACAAATATCATAATTTGAAGGTCATATGTACAGTTTACTCAAGATTTTAAACGTTGAACTCAATTTGGAGATTTAATTTGATAATTTTTTTCGACAATTTAATTTAATGCAACTATTGGATTAAGGGTGAACTTTATTTAATATTAAAATTTATAATTAATCTAGTAATTGCATTGAATTGCATCTCCAAATTAAGTCCCTATTATTCTTTTTCGAATTCTCTTAAACTCTATTGCCATTTTTTAACTATTTTTTCATCAAATATCTTTATTTTTGATTTATCTACCAATAGCAATGATAATGATTGTATTCGTTTCGGATCTATATAATAAAGTAAAACAAAATTTGAATTCAAGAAATAAAGAGTGATCCTGATCGTTTTGATACAAAACATAAATATATCTAACGAACAACGTAATTCTAACATTAAAAACGATTTAGATCCTATCAAAAATTTTGATCTAACGTTTATCTACCGATAAGAGTGATAATGATTATATTCGTTTCGAATATATATAATAAAATAGAACGAAATTTGAATCTAAGAAACAAAGAATGATTCAAATTATTTTGAGACAAAACATAAATACATATGACGAATAACATAATCCTAACATAAAAAACGGTTTAAATTATCTCAAAAATTTTGATCTAACAATTTACGGTTAATCCAAACTTTGTTTTCGACTGAGAGAAAAAACGAAAAACAGAGGCAAGAGAAAGTGAGAAAAAAGGAAAGAGAAAGGCATGAAATCACAGATCTGAGACCACACTTTTAGACCACCCTCTTTCGCAAAGGGATTCGATTGATTCTTCTTGTTTTCCTTGTGCGCGAGAGTTAGTTTTCCTTGTGGGAACTGGGCTTCTTGTTTTCCTTGTACGCGATCATACTAGGGATTCGATTCGTTGCTCAAGCTTTGGTAAAGGTAAAAAAAAAAAGTTCTGACTTACTTATTGAGTGACTTCAAATTATTCTGCTTGTTAATTTTTGTTTTTAGCGTATCACAGATCTCCATCGCAGATATGAGATATTGAATGGTTTAAAATACATGGGTATTGGATAAAAGTAACTCTTTTCAATATTCATCATTTTCAACTCAATGTTTGTCTTGTTCTGAGGCAAGATTTTTTTTGATGTTTTGTAGTTCTATGTGGGTCCTAGTGTTTTTTTAGTGGGTAAATTGTTCTTATTTGTTTATTATTCCCCAGTTGCATGTTGTTCTTTTCTTTTTTAAGTTGTTTATTACTATTTAATTTTTTATTCGGTTTTTGTTTGTTACTCATGCAGAATGGACAATTGTTTTTCTATTGAGTTAAATCATGGTGGATACTTTGAATGATAGCCAAGTGTTGTTTACAAGAAGGGTAAACGAGTGTGATCTAGATAAGATGTTATTGTTTGAATTAAGAGGAATGTATGAGTATTTAACTTCAGATAAGCCTAATATTATAAACATGTGGTACATACTGCCTGGGTTTAGCTTAAACAATGGTCTGATTGCTATTAATTTAGACAAGGAAGTCATGGATATGCTTATGGCATATAGAGGATTTGATGTAATTGTTGTATATATGGAGAAAGGGCAAGAACCTATTCAAGTAATTTCTACAGTGGGAGAAATGTTGGTGGAACCTAGAATGTCAAAAGGTTGTGCAGAATCAAATAATGCCCAACCTACAACAGAAGCAAATGACAGTGGGGATCCCAGTTGGATGAATGAAGGTTTAGAGAGGCTTGGAGAGGATGACATTTTCAATGATACTGGCACTTCAGGGATTGGTCTTACTATACTTCAAGGAAATATGACTGAGAATATGCTTGAAACTGCCACTAGAAGAGAAAATTCTAGAAAAGAGGTCTCAGAATCTAGAAATGTTGGAAATGCTCAAAATGCAAAAACTATATTTGCAGAGCATGAAAGTGTAGAAGTTGCATATGCTCATAATGAAACTTTGATGCTATAAATGCAGAAATTGGAAATTATGAAAATGCTAATGTTCAAACTGACCAATGGTATTCTGATGTTGAGGATGAATGGTACAAATTGAGTAAAGATAACAAATCAGATGAAGAAAGTGATCATTATGTTGACTTTAATGAAGATAGGGACATGGACAAACCAGACTTAAAGGTTGGAATGAGATTTGTCTCCCCTCAAAACTTTAGAGAGGTTTTAAAGGAGTGGGTGATACAAGGAGGTTATGACCTAAAACATAGAAAGAATGAGAAGAAATTGAGAATTTTGACTCTTACAACTGGTATTCCTCGCTGGTCTTGAACCATTAGCAACCTCCCCAAGCTTGGCATTGAACCCACATCAGAGAAATAAAACTGGTCCCCATCTGCGCAGCTTGCTTGGACAAAAAATCAGCCATTGCATTGGCTTCTCTAAAAATGTGACTGATTTGTAAATCAAGACCCTTTAGCAAGGCAGAAATCTGGGAAAGGATACCACATAGCTTCCAATTATTCATTTAATGGATAATTAAATCTGGGAATGGAAACTTACTCATTTTATGACCCTAGCTATTTTAGTATAAAGGGCATTTTAGGCACTTGGACAATATTTTTTTGGAGGGAAACAATGAAAACAAAGTCCATAATATATTTTGAACATATGAAGTACACTCTCAATTAAGTTGGATGATAAAAGTAACGGTTTTATTTTGGTACATAACCATAAGGGAGTAATGCGCGTAATTTTAAATGTTAAGTAGGTAAGGTACTTTTAGACGAAACCACAGGGGGTAAAAAGCAATCTATAATATAAAACAGAGCGGGGCTTTAACAAGCCGATCAGACGATCACAATTCATTTCATCCGATGACTCAAAAATCATCCACAACATCATCAAATTTTTCCCCCAAATTCATCATTTTTCACATACAATATTTTTCAAAATTCTACCTATCAATCAATATTTAGTCACCTCAATTGTCTCTTCTTTTTTCTCCCTCCCTTCTGTCAGACAAGTCATGACTCTCCGGTTTTCTTCTTTTTTTTTTCCAACCTCTCACTCATTCAAAATTTTGACCCCCCCCCCTCTCTCTCTGTTGCGCCCCCAGCAAAACCACCAGCACCACCGTTACTTCGTCAGCAACACCACCAGCACCCGTCTCAAGTACCCCTGATCTCTCTCTATCTCTCTCACACACATACACAAACACCCACAACGCACACCACACACATACACATTCAGTTTTGGGGTTTCCCCAAAACACACACAGAGGATTCTAGGTTGAGGGGGTTTTTGGTTTGATGTTTTTGTGAAGGGGGTTTGCGTTTTGGGTTTTAGCAGAACACGCACAAAGGCAACATCAGAGGATTCTCGGGAGGCTTTTGGGTTTTCGAGAAGGGATTTATTCTTTCTTCTCTTTCTTAACGGTGCGGGTGGGTTTTCTGCGGGATGGCTGTCTCTTGGATTGCCCTTTCGCTGGGGGAAAATGGAGTTGAGGTGGTTATGTGGTGACTGTTTGCTGTGCAGATTTCTATTGGTTTCGTCTTAGGGAAAGATTACAGAAAAATATGAACTAGCTCAGGTGATTCTTTGAATAAATATCCATTCTACTTATGCTCTCATTTATGTCTGTTTGAAAATGAATGTTCCTTGCTTTTCTTCTTTTTATTTTTCTTTGACTTGTGATTAGGAGATGGAACTCTGTTTACAATAGCTTTCCCTTTTGGTTATGTGTTTCATCAGCTAAAACCACATTATTTGTTCTGGTTTAAGAAAGTTCAATGACAGAGGTATTTTGTAACTTTTTCATTTATTTGTTCTGGTATATTCCTTCTTACATTTTTTTGGTTGTGGGTTTAAGTCCATTTTTCTGCTCAGTTTAACATGTTAGCTGTGATTTGGCAAAAACTTTTCTACTTTTCACTACATTGCGGTGAACTCATATCTGCATTTCAAGTTTATTTTGGGCGTGTTGTTTGGAGAAGTTTACGTGTGTCATTACACACGATCTATTGACATTATTTTTTAGACACTTTCAATGCTTGGATAGGAACCAATGAAACACTTTTTTAGGTTGACATTATTACATGTTTTCTTGGTACTTAATTGTTAGTTTTTATAGGTTGACACTATTTACATGTTTTCTTGGTACGTAATTGTTAGTTTCTTGTAATGTGATTAAAGTTAGAGGTTCCTATTTACATTTTTGGTATTTACATGTTTGTTCAGTCACCTTTGCTTATTTTGATGCTCTTTAATAACAGTCCGTGAACTGAGATATTACAACTTTGGTGTTTGGGTTTCGGACTTCCCCTTTCTTTGCCTGTTGTTATTTTGTCTATAAAGATTGATTTTTTAGTTTATTATTCCGAATACTGCATACGTAGTAGATCTTTTTTGTAGATCTTTTTGTATACTGCATACGTGGCTTTGACCACGATAAAAAAAAACACATGTTTTGCATAGGGACACCTTAGCCTAATAGTTATACAAAGTGCAGTATATGGGTACCTAATATATATCTGTAGTCCCAAAACAT